GTAATGCATTTGATTGGCCCTCCAGACACTGTCTGTCACACATGACTTCATGGTAGCCCCAGGACGAGGTGATGGCATTTGTGCTCAGCCATGTCCGTCTCCCCACACACACACACATATACAATACACACATGGACTTCTGACCTGGTCAGTGGGTTGCCCTCTGTGGGAGGACAAACAAAATCTTTCGGCTCGGGTGAGGGACCAGTCCTGGACATGTTGGTTTTAACTGTCTGCTCTGGCATGATGGCCGTGGGGCAGCTTCTCCAGGGTGTCCAGTGAACACAGGAACAACCCAGACACTGCTCTGTCTGTCCTTCATGTCTCTTGCAGGAGTCTGACTGCACCCCCAGACTGATCGGTCATAGACGTGAGCTGTTGACTGGTGTTTTCCTCTTTGGGGCAGTATCCAGTCCAGCCACCCAAGACCTTTTTAGATACTCTTCCAACTGCCTGCCCTCTGCCTCTCTGAGCACAGCAGATCAGCCCTAAAGCAACTGGTCTCACAGCAGAGAATGGAGGTGCCATTGAGAATCCTTATGCAGATAACATCCTGAGGAGATCTCTGCCTGAGACAGCTTGCAGCCCCTCGTCCCAAACCTGCCCCAAACAGCATAAGAGAATTGTCCTAGGGGATCCTCATGGAAGTCGTCTTGCCCCAGTGACAGGGCAGCCTGTCCCAAGCTGACACTCACAGCAAAATGGTTTCCTTGTATCTCCTGCACACACACGTACCCTGCTCTTCTGTTGGGACAGCCAGCTCTGAAGAGAGCCTTTACCCAAGAGAAGTTCATCTCTGCTGGCCTGGCCAGTCAATCGCACACACACCCCAAAGGCTCCCCACAGCCCCTGAGTAGGGGGTGCAGCTCATCAGAGCAGGATGTACTTCCCAGGGCAAAACCCTTTAGGATGACTAGCTCATCCAACGTCTTGTGGCAACTGTTCCCTCTACCTCAGCACACGTATGATGCCCCTGAAAATATACAGAGAGTCTTGGAAAAAAAAAAAAAAGATCCTTTATTTTTTTTTTCAACTCAGACAGAAAGAGCAGCTCCGTGTTTACGAAATGTCTCTGGGTCACAAAAAAAGGGAGAAATATAATGAAGAATAAGTTCGGGATTTTTAATTTTTACTTTTTGGACAGCATTAATGTAAGAAAGAGAAGCTGAATAAAGAAACCTAACCCAGAAACCTGCCCAATACAGGCTGGAGCTGAAAGGAAAAACAATCAGTCATCAGTTTCCTTAGGGCATCCTTGAGCTCCTGGTTCCTCAGGCTGTAGATGAGGGGGTTCAC